CATTAGTGCTCGGTATGATCGCACCCGCCAAGTGTTGCGCGATCAATGGTTATATGGATTCGACGGACACTCCGACTAACTTGTGATGCGTGAACGATCTTGAATTTGTGACGAAAGAAATGAGTTGGGAGGGGGCGGCGAAGTGGGTTGTTGGGATCAACGGTAAAAAGGATGATGTTCGTTCATGCAAGACTTATGAAATTTGATAGAGTTCTTCTCATCGACCGGTATCGTCTGACGTCACGAAAAATACGACACGAAAAAGAGGTGCAACACGAGGACTTCCCAGGAGGTCACCCATCCTAGTACTACTCTCGCCCAAGCACGCTTAATCGCGGAGTTCGATGGGATCCGGTGCATTAGTGCTTGGTATGATCGCACCTGCCAAGTGTTGCGCGATCAATGGTTATATGGATTCGACAGACACACCGACTAACTTGTGATGCGTGAACGATCTTGAATTTGTGACGAAAGAAATGAGTTGGGAGGGGGCGGCGAAGTGGGTTGTTGGGATCAACGGTAAAAAGGATGATGTTCGTTCATGCAAGACTTATGAAATTTGATAGAGTTCTTCTCATCGACCGGTATCGTCCGACGTCACGAAAAATACGACACGAAAAAGAGGTGCAACACGAGGACTTCCCGGGAGGTCACCCATCCTAGTACTACTCTCGCCCAAGCACGCTTAACTGCGGAGTTCGATGGGATCCGGTGCATTAGTGCCTGGTATGATCGCACCCGCCAAGTGTTGCGCGATCAATGGTTATATGGATTCGACAAGACACCCGACTAACTTGTGATGCGTGAACGATCTTGAATTTGTGACGAAAGAAATGAGTTGGGAGGGGGCGGCGAAGTGGGTTGTTGGGATCAACGGTAAAAAGGATGATGTTCGTTCATGCAAGACTTATGAAATTTGATAGAGTTCTTCTCATCGACCGGTATCGTCTGACGTCACGAAAAATACGACACGAAAAAGAGGTGCAACACGAGGACTTCCCAGGAGGTCACCCATCCTAGTACTACTCTCGCCCAAGCACGCTTAACTGCGGAGTTCTGATGGGATCCGGTGCATTAGTCCTGGTATGATCGCACCTGCCAAGTGTTGCGCGATCAATGGTTATATGGATTCGACAGCACACCTGACTAACTTGTGATGCGTGAACGATCTTGAATTTGTGACGAAAGAAATGAGTTGGGAGGGGGGGCGGCGAAGTGGGTTGTTGGGATCAACGGTAAAAAGGATGATGTTCGTTCATGCAAGACTTATGAAATTTGATAGAGTTCTTCTCATCGACCGGTATCGTCTGACGTCACGAAAAATACGACACGAAAAAGAGGTGCAACACGAGGACTTCCCAGGAGGTCACCCATCCTAGTACTACTCTCGCCCAAGCACGCTTAATCTGCGGAGTTCCGATGGGATCCGGTGCATTAGTGCCTGGTATGATCGCACCCGCCAAGTGTTGCGCGATCAATGGTTATATGGATTCGACAAGACACCCGACTAACTTGTGATGCGTGAACGATCTTGAATTTGTGACGAAAGAAATGAGTTGGGAGGGGGGCGGCGAAGTGGGTTGTTGGGATCAACGGTAAAAAGGATGATGTTCGTTCATGCAAGACTTATGAAATTTGATAGAGTTCTTCTCATCGACCGGTATCGTCTGACGTCACGAAAAATACGACACGAAAAAGAGGTGCAACACGAGGACTTCCCAGGAGGTCACCCATCCTAGTACTACTCTCGCCCAAGCACGCTTAACTCGCGGAGTTCGATGGGATCCGGTGCATTAGTGCCGGTATGATCGCACCCGCCAAGTGTTGCGCGATCAATGGTTATATGGATTCGACAACGACACCCGACTAACTTGTGATGCGTGAACGATCTTGAATTTGTGACGAAAGAAATGAGTTGGGAGGGGGCGGCGAAGTGGGTTGTTGGGATCAACGGTAAAAAGGATGATGTTCGTTCATGCAAGACTTATGAAATTTGATAGAGTTCTTCTCATCGACCGGTATCGTCCGACGTCACGAAAAATACGACACGAAAAAGAGGTGCAACACGAGGACTTCCCAGGAGGTCACCCATCCTAGTACTACTCTCACCCAAGCACGCTTAACTGCGGAGGTCTGATGGGGTCCGGTGGATTAGTGCTGGTATGATCGCACCTGCCAAGTGTTGCGCGATCAATGGTTATATGGATTCGACAGCACACCTGACTAACTTGTGATGCGTGAACGATCTTGAATTTGTGACGAAAGAAATGAGTTGGGAGGGGGGGCGGCGAAGTGGGTTGTTGGGATCAACGGTAAAAAGGATGATGTTCGTTCATGCAAGACTTATGAAATTTGATAGAGTTCTTCTCATCGACCGGTATCGTCTGACGTCACGAAAAAGAGGTGCAACACGAGGACTTCCCAGGAGGTCACCCATCCTAGTACTACTCTCGCCCAAGCACGCTTAACTGCGGAGTTCTGATGGGATCCGGTGCATTAGTGCTGGTATGATCGCACCTGCCAAGTGTTGCGCGATCAATGGTTATATGGATTCGACAGCACACCTGACTAACTTGTGATGCGTGAACGATCTTGAATTTGTGACGAAAGAAATGAGTTGGGAGGGGGGGCGGCGAAGTGGGTTGTTGGGATCAACGGTAAAAAGGATGATGTTCGTTCATGCAAGACTTATGAAATTTGATAGAGTTCTTCTCATCGACCGGTATCGTCTGACGTCACGAAAAATACGACACGAAAAAGAGGTGCAACACGAGGACTTCCCAGGAGGTCACCCATCCTAGTACTACTCTCGCCCAAGCACGCTTAACTGTGGAGTTCTGTTTCATCGGATCGGGTGCATTAGTGCTGGTATGATCGCACCTGCCAAGTGTTGCGCGATCAATGGTTATATGGATTCGACAGCACACCTGACTAACTTGTGATGCGTGAACGATCTTGAATTTGTGACGAAAGAAATGAGTTGGGAGGGGGGGCGGCGAAGTGGGTTGTTGGGATCAACGGTAAAAAGGATGATGTTCGTTCATGCAAGACTTATGAAATTTGATAGAGTTCTTCTCATCGACCGGTATCGTCTGACGTCACGAAAAATACGACACGAAAAAGAGGTGCAACACGAGGACTTCCCAGGAGGTCACCCATCCTAGTACTACTCTCGCCCAAGCACGCTTAACTGCGGAGTTCTGATGGGATCCGGTGCATTAGTGCTGGTATGATCGCACCTGCCAAGTGTTGCGCGATCAATGGTTATATGGATTCGACAGCACACCTGACTAACTTGTGATGCGTGAACGATCTTGAATTTGTGACGAAAGAAATGAGTTGGGAGGGGGGGCGGCGAAGTGGGTTGTTGGGATCAACGGTAAAAAGGATGATGTTCGTTCATGCAAGACTTATGAAATTTGATAGAGTTCTTCTCATCGACCGGTATCGTCTGACGTCACGAAAAATACGACACGAAAAAGAGGTGCAACACGAGGACTTCCCAGGAGGTCACCCATCCTAGTACTACTCTCGCCCAAGCACGCTTAACTGCGGAGTTCTGATGGGATCCGGTGCATTAGTGCTGGTATGATCGCACCTGCCAAGTGTTGCGCGATCAATGGTTATATGGATTCGACAGCACACCTGACTAACTTGTGATGCGTGAACGATCTTGAATTTGTGACGAAAGAAATGAGTTGGGAGGGGGGGCGGCGAAGTGGGTTGTTGGGATCAACGGTAAAAAGGATGATGTTCGTTCATGCAAGACTTATGAAATTTGATAGAGTTCTTCTCATCGACCGGTATCGTCTGACGTCACGAAAAATACGACACGAAAAAGAGGTGCAACACGAGGACTTCCCAGGAGGTCACCCATCCTAGTACTACTCTCGCCCAAGCACGCTTAACTGCGGAGTTCTGATGGGATCCGGTGCATTAGTGCTGGTATGATCGCACCTGCCAAGTGTTGCGCGATCAATGGTTATATGGATTCGACAGCACACCTGACTAACTTGTGATGCGTGAACGATCTTGAATTTGTGACGAAAGAAATGAGTTGGGAGGGGGGGCGGCGAAGTGGGTTGTTGGGATCAACGGTAAAAAGGATGATGTTCGTTCATGCAAGACTTATGAAATTTGATAGAGTTCTTCTCATCGACCGGTATCGTCCGACGTCACGAAAATACGACACGAAAAAGAGGTGCAACACGAGGACTTCCCGGGAGGTCACCCATCCTAGTACTACTCTCGCCCAAGCACGCTTAACTGCTGGAGTTCGATGGGATCCGGTGCATTAGTGTCTGGTATGATCGCACCCGCCAAGTGTTGCGCGATCAATGGTTATATGGATTCGACAAAGACACCCGACTAACTTGTGATGCGTGAACGATCTTGAATTTGTGACGAAAGAAATGAGTTGGGAGGGGGGGCGGCGAAGTGGGTTGTTGGGATCAACGGTAAAAAGGATGATGTTCGTTCATGCAAGACTTATGAAATTTGATAGAGTTCTTCTCATCGACCGGTATCGTCTGACGTCACGAAAAATACGACACGAAAAAGAGGTGCAACACGAGGACTTCCCAGGAGGTCACCCATCCTAGTACTACTCTCGCCCAAGCACGCTTAACTGCGGAGTTCTGATGGGATCCGGTGCATTAGTGCTGGTATGATCGCACCTGCCAAGTGTTGCGCGATCAATGGTTATATGGATTCGACAGCACACCTGACTAACTTGTGATGCGTGAACGATCTTGAATTTGTGACGAAAGAAATGAGTTGGGAGGGGGGGCGGCGAAGTGGGTTGTTGGGATCAACGGTAAAAAGGATGATGTTCGTTCATGCAAGACTTATGAAATTTGATAGAGTTCTTCTCATCGACCGGTATCGTCTGACGTCACGAAAAATACGACACGAAAAAGAGGTGCAACACGAGGACTTCCCAGGAGGTCACCCATCCTAGTACTACTCTCGCCCAAGCACGCTTAACTCGCGGAGTTCCGATGGGATCCGGTGCATTAGTGCCTGGTATGATCGCACCCGCCAAGTGTTGCGCGATCAATGGTTATATGGATTCGACAAAGACACCCGACTAACTTGTGATGCGTGAACGATCTTGAATTTGTGACGAAAGAAATGAGTTGGGAGGGGCGGCGAAGTGGGTTGTTGGGATCAACGGTAAAAAGGATGATGTTCGTTCATGCAAGACTTATGAAATTTGATAGAGTTCTTCTCATCGACCGGTATCGTCCGACGTCACGAAAAATACGACACGAAAAAGAGGTGCAACACGAGGACTTCCAGGAGGTCACCCATCCTAGTACTACTCTCGCCCAAGCACGCTTAATCGCGTGAGTTCCGATGGGATCCGTGCATTAGTGCTTCGGTATGATCGCACCTCGCCAAGTGTTGCGCGATCAATGGTTATATGGATTCGACAAGACACCCGACTAACTTGTGATGCGTGAACGATCTTGAATTTGTGACGAAAGAAATGAGTTGGGAGGGGCGGCGAAGTGGGTTGTTGGGATCAACGGTAAAAAGGATGATGTTCGTTCATGCAAGACTTATGAAATTTGATAGAGTTCTTCTCATCGACCGGCATCGTCTCGACGTCACGAAAATACGACACGAAAAAGAGGTGCAACACGAGGACTTCCCAGGAGGTCACCCATCCTAGTACTACTCTCGCCCAAGCACGCTTAACCTGCGAGTTCGATGGGATCCGGTGCATTAGTGCCTGGTATGATCGCACTCTGCCAAGTGTTGCGCGATCAATGGTTATATGGATTCGACAAGACACCCGACTAACTTGTGATGCGTGAACGATCTTGAATTTGTGACGAAAGAAATGAGTTGGGAGGGGGCGGCGAAGTGGGTTGTTGGGATCAACGGTAAAAAGGATGATGTTCGTTCATGCAAGACTTATGAAATTTGATAGAGTTCTTCTCATCGACCGCGATCGTCTCGACGTCACGAAAAATACGACACGAAAAAGAGGTGCAACACGAGGACTTCCCAGGAGGTCACCCATCCTAGTACTACTCTCGCCCAAGCACGCTTAACTGCGGAGTTCTGATGGGATCCGGTGCATTAGTGCTGGTATGATCGCACCTGCCAAGTGTTGCGCGATCAATGGTTATATGGATTCGACAGCACACCTGACTAACTTGTGATGCGTGAACGATCTTGAATTTGTGACGAAAGAAATGAGTTGGGAGGGGGGGCGGCGAAGTGGGTTGTTGGGATCAACGGTAAAAAGGATGATGTTCGTTCATGCAAGACTTATGAAATTTGATAGAGTTCTTCTCATCGACCGGTATCGTCTGACGTCACGAAAAATACGACACGACGAGAGGTTCGCAGCCCGCGTACTTTCCATATAGGTCACCCATCCTAGTACTACTCTCGCCCAAGCACGCTTAACTGCGGAGTTCTGATGGGATCCGGTGCATTAGTGCTGGTATGATCGCACCTGCCAAGTGTTGCGCGATCAATGGTTATATGGATTCGACAACACACCTGACTAACTTGTGATGCGTGAACGATCTTGAATTTGTGACGAAAGAAATGAGTTGGGAGGGGGGGCGGCGAAGTGGGTTGTTGGGATCAACGGTAAAAAGGATGATGTTCGTTCATGCAAGACTTATGAAATTTGATAGAGTTCTTCTCATCGACCGAGTATCGTCCGACGTCACGAAAAATACGACACGAAAAAGAGGTGCAACACGAGGACTTCCCAGGAGGTCACCCATCCTAGTACTACTCTCGCCCAAGCACGCTTAACCGCGGAGTTCGATGGGATCCGGTGCATTAGTGCCTGGTATGATCGCACCCTGCCAAGTGTTGCGCGATCAATGGTTATATGGATTCGACAGCACACCTGACTAACTTGTGATGCGTGAACGATCTTGAATTTGTGACGAAAGAAATGAGTTGGGAGGGGGGGCGGCGAAGTGGGTTGTTGGGATCAACGGTAAAAAGGATGATGTTCGTTCATGCAAGACTTATGAAATTTGATAGAGTTCTTCTCATCGACCGGTATCGTCTGACGTCACGAAAAATACGACACGAAAAAGAGGTGCAACACGAGGACTTCCCAGGAGGTCACCCATCCTAGTACTACTCTCGCCCAAGCACGCTTAACTGCGGAGTTCTGATGGGATCCGGTGCATTAGTGCTGGTATGATCGCACCTGCCAAGTGTTGCGCGATCAATGGTTATATGGATTCGACAGCACACCTGACTAACTTGTGATGCGTGAACGATCTTGAATTTGTGACGAAAGAAATGAGTTGGGAGGGGGGGCGGCGAAGTGGGTTGTTGGGATCAACGGTAACAGGATGATGTTCGTTCATGCAAGACTTATGAAATTTGATAGAGTTCTTCTCATCGACCGGTATCGTCTGACGTCACGAAAAATACGACACGAAAAAGAGGTGCAACACGAGGACTTCCCAGGAGGTCACCCATCCTAGTACTACTCTCGCCCAAGCACGCTTAACTGCGGAGTTCTGATGGGATCCGGTGCATTAGTGCTGGTATGATCGCACCTGCCAAGTGTTGCGCGATCAATGGTTATATGGATTCGACAGCACACCTGACTAACTTGTGATGCGTGAACGATCTTGAATTTGTGACGAAAGAAATGAGTTGGGAGGGGGGGCGGCGAAGTGGGTTGTTGGGATCAACGGTAAAAAGGATGATGTTCGTTCATGCAAGACTTATGAAATTTGATAGAGTTCTTCTCATCGACCGGTATCGTCTGACGTCACGAAAAATACGACACGAAAAAGAGGTGCAACACGAGGACTTCCCAGGAGGTCACCCATCCTAGTACTACTCTCGCCCAAGCACGCTTAACTGCGGAGTTCTGATGGGATCCGGTGCATTAGTGCCTGGTATGATCGCACCCGCCAAGTGTTGCGCGATCAATGGTTATATGGATTCGACAAGCACACCCGACTAACTTGTGATGCGTGAACGATCTTGAATTTGTGACGAAAGAAATGAGTTGGGAGGGGGGGCGGCGAAGTGGGTTGTTGGGATCAACGGTAAAAAGGATGATGTTCGTTCATGCAAGACTTATGAAATTTGATAGAGTTCTTCTCATCGACCGGTATCGTCTGACGTCACGAAAAATACGACACGAAAAAGAGGTGCAACACGAGGACTTCCCGGGAGGTCACCCATCCTAGTACTACTCTCGCCCAAGCACGCTTAACTGCGGAGTTCTGATGGGATCCGGTGCATTAGTGCTGGTATGATCGCACCTGCCAAGTGTTGCGCGATCAATGGTTATATGGATTCGACAGCACACCTGACTAACTTGTGATGCGTGAACGATCTTGAATTTGTGACGAAAGAAATGAGTTGGGAGGGGGGGCGGCGAAGTGGGTTGTTGGGATCAACGGTAAAAAGGATGATGTTCGTTCATGCAAGACTTATGAAATTTGATAGAGTTCTTCTCATCGACCGGTATCGTCTGACGTCACGAAAAATACGACACGAAAAAGAGGTGCAACACGAGGACTTCCCAGGAGGTCACCCATCCTAGTACTACTCTCGCCCAAGCACGCTTAACTGCGGAGTTCTGATGGGATCCGGTGCATTAGTGCTGGTATGATCGCACCTGCCAAGTGTTGCGCGATCAATGGTTATATGGATTCGACAGCACACCTGACTAACTTGTGATGCGTGAACGATCTTGAATTTGTGACGAAAGAAATGAGTTGGGAGGGGGGGCGGCGAAGTGGGTTGTTGGGATCAACGGTAAAAAGGATGATGTTCGTTCATGCAAGACTTATGAAATTTGATAGAGTTCTTCTCATCGACCGGTATCGTCTGACGTCACGAAAAATACGACACGAAAAAGAGGTGCAACACGAGGACTTCCCAGGAGGTCACCCATCCTAGTACTACTCTCGCCCAAGCACGCTTAACTGCGGAGTTCTGATGGGATCCGGTGCATTAGTGCTGGTATGATCGCACCTGCCAAGTGTTGCGCGATCAATGGTTATATGGATTCGACAACACACCTGACTAACTTGTGATGCGTGAACGATCTTGAATTTGTGACGAAAGAAATGAGTTGGGAGGGGGGGCGGCGAAGTGGGTTGTTGGGATCCACGGTAAAAAGGATGATGTTCGTTCATGCAAGACTTATGAAATTTGATAGAGTTCTTCTCATCGACCGGTATCGTCTGACGTCACGAAAAATACGACACGAAAAAGAGGTGCAACACGAGGACTTCCCAAGAGGTCACCCATCCTAGTACTACTCTCGCCCAAGCACGCTTAACTGCGGAGTTCTGATGGGATCCGGTGCATTAGTGCTGGTATGATCGCACCTGCCAAGTGTTGCGCGATCAATGGTTATATGGATTCGACAGCACACCTGACTAACTTGTGATGCGTGAACGATCTTGAATTTGTGACGAAAGAAATGAGTTGGGAGGGGGGGCGGCGAAGTGGGTTGTTGGGATCAACGGTAAAAAGGATGATGTTCGTTCATGCAAGACTTATGAAATTTGATAGAGTTCTTCTCATCGACCGGTATCGTCTCGACGTCACGAAAAATACGACACGAAAAAGAGGTGCAAACACGAGGACTTCCCGGAGGTCACCCATCCTAGTACTACTCTCGCCCAAGCACGCTTAATCTGCGGAGTTCTGATGGGATCCGGTGCATTAGTGCCTGTATGATCGCACCCGTCAAGTGTTGCGCGATCAATGGTTATATGGATTCGACAATGACACCCGACTAACTTGTGATGCGTGAACGATCTTGAATTTGTGACGAAAGAAATGAGTTGGGAGGGGGGGCGGCGAAGTGGGTTGTTGGGATCAACGGTAAAAAGGATGATGTTCGTTCATGCAAGACTTATGAAATTTGATAGAGTTCTTCTCATCGACCGGTATCGTCTGACGTCACGAAAAATACGACACGAAAAAGAGGTGCAACACGAGGACTTCCCAGGAGGTCACCCATCCTAGTACTACTCTCGCCCAAGCACGCTTAACCGCGGAGTTCGATGGGATCCGTGCATTAGTGCTGGTATGATCGCACCTGCCAAGTGTTGCGCGATCAATGGTTATATGGATTCGACAAAGACACCCGACTAACTTGTGATGCGTGAACGATCTTGAATTTGTGACGAAAGAAATGAGTTGGGAGGGGGCGGCGAAGTGGGTTGTTGGGATCAACGGTAAAAAGGATGATGTTCGTTCATGCAAGACTTATGAAAATTTGATAGAGTTATTCTCATCGACCGGTATCGTCTGACATCACGAAAATATGACACGAAAAAGAGGTGCAACACGAGGACTTCCCGGAGGTCACCCATCCTAGTACTACTCTCGCCCAAGCACGCTTAGCTGCGGAGTTCGATGGGATCCGGTGCATTAGTGCTGGTATGATCGCACCCGCCAAGTGTTGCGCGATCAATGGTTATATGGATTCGACAAAGACACCCGACTAACTTGTGATGCGTGAACGATCTTGAATTTGTGACGAAAGAAATGAGTTGGGAGGGGGGCTGCGAAGTGGGTTGTCGGGATCAACGGTAAAAGGATGATGTTCGTTCATGCAAGACTTATGAAATTTGATAGAGTTCTTCTCATCGACCGATATCGTCCGACGTCACGAAAAATACGACACGAAAAAGAGGTGCAACACGAGGACTTCCCGGAGGTCACCCATCCTAGTACTACTCTCGCCCAAGCACGCTTAACTACGGAGTTCTGATGGGATCCGGTGCATTAGTGCTGGTATGATCGCACCTGCCAAGTGTTGCGCGATCAATGGTTATATGGATTCGACAGCACACCTGACTAACTTGTGATGCGTGAACGATCTTGAATTTGTGACGAAAGAAATGAGTTGGGAGGGGGGGCGGCGAAGTGGGTTGTTGGGATCAACGGTAAAAAGGATGATGTTCGTTCATGCAAGACTTATGAAATTTGATAGAGTTCTTCTCATCGACCGGTATCGTCTGACGTCACGAAAAATACGACACGAAAAAGAGGTGCAACACGAGGACTTCCCAGGAGGTCACCCATCCTAGTACTACTCTCGCCCAAGCACGCTTAACTGCGGAGTTCTGATGGGATCCGGTGCATTAGTGCTGGTATGATCGCACCTGCCAAGTGTTGCGCGATCAATGGTTATATGGATTCGACAGCACACCTGACTAACTTGTGATGCGTGAACGATCTTGAATTTGTGACGAAAGAAATGAGTTGGGAGGGGGGGCGGCGAAGTGGGTTGTTGGGATCAACGGTAAAAAGGATGATGTTCGTTCATGCAAGACTTATGAAATTTGATAGAGTTCTTCTCATCGACCGGTATCGTCTGACGTCACGAAAAATACGACACGAAAAAGAGGTGCAACACGAGGACTTCCCAGGAGGTCACCCATCCTAGTACTACTCTCGCCCAAGCACGCTTAACTGCGGAGTTCTGATGGGATCCGGTGCATTAGTGCTGGTATGATCGCACCTGCCAAGTGTTGCGCGATCAATGGTTATATGGATTCGACAGCACACCTGACTAACTTGTGATGCGTGAACGATCTTGAATTTGTGACGAAAGAAATGAGTTGGGAGGGGGGGCGGCGAAGTGGGTTGTTGGGATCAACGGTAAAAAGGATGATGTTCGTTCATGCAAGACTTATGAAATTTGATAGAGTTCTTCTCATCGACCGGTATCGTCTGACGTCACGAAAAATACGACACGAAAAAGAGGTGCAACACGAGGACTTCCCAGGAGGTCACCCATCCTAGTACTACTCTCGCCCAAGCACGCTTAACTGCGGAGTTCTGATGGGATCCGGTGCATTAGTGCTGGTATGATCGCACCTGCCAAGTGTTGCGCGATCAATGGTTATATGGATTCGACAGCACACCTGACTAACTTGTGATGCGTGAACGATCTTGAATTTGTGACGAAAGAAATGAGTTGGGAGGGGGGGCGGCGAAGTGGGTTGTTGGGATCAACGGTAAAAAGGATGATGTTCGTTCATGCAAGACTTATGAAATTTGATAGAGTTCTTCTCATCGACCGGTATCGTCTGACGTCACGAAAAATACGACACGAAAAAGAGGTGCAACACGAGGACTTCCCAGGAGGTCACCCATCCTAGTACTACTCTCGCCCAAGCACGCTTAACTCGCGAAGTTCCGATGGGATCCAGTGCATTAGTGCTCGGTATGATCGCACCCTGCCAAGTGTTGCGCGATCAATGGTTATATGGATTCGACAAAGACACCCGACTAACTTGTGATGCGTGAACGATCTTGAATTTGTGACGAAAGAAATGAGTTGGGAGGGGGGGCGGCGAAGTGGGTTGTTGGGATCAACGGTAAAAAGGATGATGTTCGTTCATGCAAGACTTATGAAATTTGATAGAGTTCTTCTCATCGACCAGTATCGTTCGACGTCACGAAAAATCGACACGAAAAAGAGGTGCAACACGAGGACTTCCCAGGAGGTCACCCATCCTAGTACTACTCTCGCCCAAGCACGCTTAACTGCGGAGTTCGATGGGATCCGTGCATTAGTGCTGGTATGATCGCACCTGCCAAGTGTTGCGCGATCAATGGTTATATGGATGCGACAGCACACCTGACTAACTTGTGATGCGTGAACGATCTTGAATTTGTGACGAAAGAAATGAGTTGGGAGGGGGGGCGGCGAAGTGGGTTGTTGGGATCAACGGTAAAAAGGATGATGTTCGTTCATGCAAGACTTATGAAATTTGATAGAGTTCTTCTCATCGACCGGTATCGTCGACGTCACGAAAAATACGACACGAAAAAGAGGTGCAACACGAGGACTTCCCGGGAGGTCACCCATCCTAGTACTACTCTCGCCCAAGCACGCTTAACTCGCGGAGTTCGATGGGATCCGGTGCATTAGTGCTTGGTATGATCGCACCTGCCAAGTGTTGCGCGATCAATGGTTATATGGATTCGACAGACACACGACTAACTTGTGATGCGTGAACGATCTTGAATTTGTGACGAAAGAAATGAGTTGGGAGGGGCGGCGAAGTGGGTTGTTGGGATCAACCGGTAAAAAGGATGATGTTCGTTCATGCAAGACTTATGAAATTTGATAGAGTTCTTCTCATCGACCGGTATCGTCCGACGTCACGAAAAATACGACACGAAAAAGAGGTGCAACACGAGGACTTCCAGGAGGTCACCCATCCTAGTACTACTCTCGCCCAAGCACGCTTAACTGCGGAGTTCCGATGGGATCCGGTGCATTAGTGCTTGGTATGATCGCACCCGCCAAGTGTTGCGCGATCAATGGTTATATGGATTCGACAAGACACTCGACTAACTTGTGATGCGTGAACGATCTTGAATTTGTGACGAAAGAAATGAGTTGGGAGGGGGCGCAAGTGGGTTGTTGGGATCAACGGTAAAAAGGATGATGTTCGTTCATGCAAGACTTATGAAATTTGATAGAGTTCTTCTCATCGGCCGGTATCGTCTCGACGTCACGAAAAATACGACACGAAAAAGAGGTGCAACACGAGGACTTCCCAGGAGGTCACCCATCCTAGTACTACTCTCGCCCAAGCACGCTTAACTGCGGAGTTCGATGGGATCCGGTGCATTAGTGCTTGGTATGATCGCACCTCGCCAAGTGTTGCGCGATCAATGGTTATATGGATTCGACGGACACCCGACTAACTTGTGATGCGTGAACGATCTTGAATTTGTGACGAAAGAAATGAGTTGGGAGGGGCGGCGAAGTGGGTTGTTGGGATCAACGGTAAAAAGGATGATGTTCGTTCATGCAAGACTTATGAAATTTGATAGAGCTCTTCTCATCGACCGGTATCGTCTGACGTCACGAAAAATACGACACGAAAAAGAGGTGCAACACGAGGACTTCCCAGGAGGTCACCCATCCTAGTACTACTCTCGCCCAAGCACGCTTAACTGCGAGTTCGATGGGATCCGGTGCATTAGTGCTTGGTATGATCGCACCTGCCAAGTGTTGCGCGATCAATGGTTATATGGATTCGACAAGACACTCGACTAACTTGTGATGCGTGAACGATCTTGAATTTGTGACGAAAGAAATGAGTTGGGAGGGGGGGCGGCGAAGTGGGTTGTTGGGATCAACGGTAAAAAGGATGATGTTCGTTCATGCAAGACTTATGAAATTTGATAGAGTTCTTCTCATCGACCGGTATCGTCTGACGTCACGAAAAATACGACACGAAAAAGAGGTGCAACACGAGGACTTCCCGGGAGGTCACCCATCCTAGTACTACTCTCGCCCAAGCACGCTTAACTGCGGAGTTCTGATGGGATCCGGTGCATTAGTGCTGGTATGATCGCACCTGCCAAGTGTTGCGCGATCAATGGTTATATGGATTCGACAGCACACCTGACTAACTTGTGATGCGTGAACGATCTTGAATTTGTGACGAAAGAAATGAGTTGGGAGGGGGGGCGGCGAAGTGGGTTGTTGGGATCAACGGTAAAAAGGATGATGTTCGTTCATGCAAGACTTATGAAATTTGATAGAGTTCTTCTCATCGACCGGTATCGTCTGACGTCACGAAAAATACGACACGAAAAAGAGGTGCAACACGAGGACTTCCCAGGAGGTCACCCATCCTAGTACTACTCTCGCCCAAGCACGCTTAACTGCGGAGTTCTGATGGGATCCGGTGCATTAGTGCTGGTATGATCGCACCTGCCAAGTGTTGCGCGATCAATGGTTATATGGATTCGACAGCACACCTGACTAACTTGTGATGCGTGAACGATCTTGAATTTGTGACGAAAGAAATGAGTTGGGAGGGGGGGCGGCGAAGTGGGTTGTTGGGATCAACGGTAAAAAGGATGATGTTCGTTCATGCAAGACTTATGAAATTTGATAGAGTTCTTCTCATCGGCCGGTATCGTCTGACGTCACGAAAAATACGACACGAAAAAGAGGTGCAACACGAGGACTTCCCAGGAGGTCACCCATCCTAGTACTACTCTCGCCCAAGCACGCTTAACTGCGGAGTTCTGATGGGATCCGGTGCATTAGTGCTGGTATGATCGCACCTGCCAAGTGTTGCGCGATCAATGGTTATATGGATTCGACAGCACACCTGACTAACTTGTGATGCGTGAACGATCTTGAATTTGTGACGAAAGAAATGAGTTGGGAGGGGGGGCGGCGAAGTGGGTTGTTGGGATCAACGGTAAAAAGGATGATGTTCGTTCATGCAAGACTTATGAAATTTGATAGAGTTCTTCTCATCGACCGGTATCGTCTGACGTCACGAAAAATACGACACGAAAAAGAGGTGCAACACGAGGACTTCCCAGGAGGTCACCCATCCTAGTACTACTCTCGCCCAAGCACGCTTAACTGCGGAGTTCTGATGGGATCCGGTGCATTAGTGCTGGTATGATCGCACCTGCCAAGTGTTGCGCGATCAATGGTTATATGGATTCGACAGCACACCTGACTAACTTGTGATGCGTGAACGATCTTGAATTTGTGACGAAAGAAATGAGTTGGGAGGGGGGGCGGCGAAGTGGGTTGTTGGGATCAACGGTAAAAAGGATGATGTTCGTTCATGCAAGACTTATGAAATTTGATAGAGTTCTTCTCATCGGCCGGTATCGTCTGACGTCACGAAAAATACGACACGAAAAAGAGGTGCAACACGAGGACTGTTCCCAGGAGGTCACCCATCCTAGTACTACTCTCGCCCAAGCACGCTTAACTGCGGAGTTCTGATGGGATCCGGTGCATTAGTGCTGGTATGATCGCACCTGCCAAGTGTTGCGCGATCAATGGTTATATGGATTCGACAGCACACCTGACTAACTTGTGATGCGTGAACGATCTTGAATTTGTGACGAAAGAAATGAGTTGGGAGGGGGGGCGGCGAAGTGGGTTGTTGGGATCAACGGTAAAAAGGATGATGTTCGTTCATGCAAGACTTATGAAATTTGATAGAGTTCTTCTCATCGGCCGGTATCGTCTGACGTCACGAAAAATACGACACGAAAAAGAGGTGCAACACGAGGACTTCCCAGGAGGTCACCCATCCTAGTACTACTCTCGCCCAAGCACGCTTAACTGCGGAGTTCTGATGGGATCCGGTGCATTAGTGCTGGTATGATCGCACCTGCCAAGTGTTGCGCGATCAATGGTTATATGGATTCGACAGCACACCTGACTAACTTGTGATGCGTGAACGATCTTGAATTTGTGACGAAAGAAATGAGTTGGGAGGGGGGGCGGCGAAGTGGGTTGTTGGGATCAACGGTAAAAAGGATGATGTTCGTTCATGCAAGACTTATGAAATTTGATAGAGTTCTTCTCATCGACCGGTATCGTCTGACGTCACGAAAAATACGACACGAAAAAGAGGTGCAACACGAGGACTTCCCAGGAGGTCACCCATCCTAGTACTACTCTCGCCCAAGCACGCTTAAGCTGCGAGTTCGATGGGATCCGGTGCATTAGTGCTTGGTATGATCGCACCTGCCAAGTGTTGCGCGATCAATGGTTATATGGATTCGACAGCACACCTGACTAACTTGTGATGCGTGAACGATCTTGAATTTGTGACGAAAGAAATGAGTTGGGAGGGGGGGCGGCGAAGTGGGTTGTTGGGATCAACGGTAAAAAGGATGATGTTCGTTCATGCAAGACTTATGAAATTTGATAGAGTTCTTCTCATCGACCGGTATCGTCTGACGTCACGAAAAATACGACACGAAAAAGAGGTGCAACACGAGGACTTCCCAGGAGGTCACCCATCCTAGTACTACTCTCGCCCAAGCACGCTTAACTGCGGAGTTCTGATGGGATCCGGTGCATTAGTGCTGGTATGATCGCACTCGCCAAGTGTTGCGCGATCAATGGTTATATGGATTCGACAGACACACCGACTAACTTGTGATGCGTGAACGATCTTGAATTTGTGACGAAAGAAATGAGTTGGGAGGGGGGGCGGCGAAGTGGGTTGTTGGGATCAACGGTAAAAAGGATGATGTTCGTTCATGCAAGACTTATGAAATTTGATAGAGTTCTTCTCATCGACCGGTATCGTCTGACGTCACGAAAAATACGACACGAAAAAGAGGTGCAACACGAGGACTTCCCAGGAGGTCACCCATCCTAGTACTACTCTCGCCCAAGCACGCTTAACTGCGGAGTTCTGATGGGATCCGGTGCATTAGTGCTTGGTATGATCGCACCTGCCAAGTGTTGCGCGATCAATGGTTATATGGATTCGACAGACACACCGACTAACTTGTGATGCGTGAACGATCTTGAATTTGTGACGAAAGAAATGAGTTGGGAGGGGGCGGCGAAGTGGGTTGTTGGGATCAACGGTAAAAAGGATGATGTTCGTTCATGCAAGACTTATGAAATTTGATAGAGTTCTTCTCATCGACCGGTATCGTCCGACGTCACGAAAAATACGACACGAAAAAGAGGTGCAACACGAGGACTTCCCAGGAGGTCACCCATCCTAGTACTACTCTCGCCCAAGCACGCTTAACTGCGGAGTTCGATGGGATCCGGTGCATTAGTGCTTGGTATGATCGCACCCGCCAAGTGTTGCGCGATCAATGGTTATATGGATTCGACAAGCACACCCGACTAACTTGTGATGCGTGAACGATCTTGAATTTGTGACGAAAGAAATGAGTTGGGAGGGGGCGGCGAAGTGGGTTGTTGGGATCAACGGTAAAAAGGATGATGTTCGTTCATGCAAGACTTATGAAATTTGATAGAGTTCTTCTCATCGGCCGGTATCGTCCGACGTCACGAAAAATACGACACGAAAAAGAGGTGCAACACGAGGACTTCCCGGGAGGTCACCCATCCTAGTACTACTCTCGCCCAAGCACGCTTAACTGCGGAGTTCGATGGGATCCGGTGCATTAGTGCTTGGTATGATCGCACCTGCCAAGTGTTGCGCGATCAATGGTTATATGGATTCGACAACGACACTCGACTAACTTGTGATGCGTGAACGATCTTGAATTTGTGACGAAAGAAATGAGTTGGGAGGGGGCGGCGAAGTGGGTTGTTGGGATCAACGGTAAAAAGGATGATGTTCGTTCATGCAAGACTTATGAAATTTGATAGAGTTCTTCTCATCGGCCGGTATCGTCCGACGTCACGAAAAATACGACACGAAAAAGAGGTGCAACACGAGGACTTCCCGGGAGGTCACCCATCCTAGTACTACTCTCGCCCAAGCACGCTTAAGCTGCGGAGTTCGATGGGATCCGGTGCATTAGTCTCTGGTATGATCGCACCTGCCAAGTGTTGCGCGATCAATGGTTATATGGATTCGACAAGACACACGACTAACTTGTGATGCGTGAACGATCTTGAATTTGTGACGAAAGAAATGAGTTGGGAGGGGGCGGCGAAGTGGGTTGTTGGGATCAACGGTAAAAAGGATGATGTTCGTTCATGCAAGACTTATGAAATTTGATAGAGTTCTTCTCATCGACCGGTATCGTCTGACGTCACGAAAAATACGACACGAAAAAGAGGTGCAACACGAGGACTTCCCAGGAGGTCACCCATCCTAGTACTACTCTCGCCCAAGCACGCTTAACTGCGGAGTTCGATGGGATCCGGTGCATTAGTGCTTGGTATGATCGCACCTGCCAAGTGTTGCGCGATCAATGGTTATATGGATTCGACAGCACACCTGACTAACTTGTGATGCGTGAACGATCTTGAATTTGTGACGAAAGAAATGAGTTGGGAGGGGGGGCGGCGAAGTGGGTTGTTGGGATCAACGGTAAAAAGGATGATGTTCGTTCATGCAAGACTTATGAAATTTGATAGAGTTCTTCTCATCGACCGGTATCGTCTGACGTCACGAAAAATACGACACGAAAAAGAGGTGCAACACGAGGACTTCCCAGGAGGTCACCCATCCTAGTACTACTCTCGCCCAAGCACGCTTAGCTGCGGAGTTCTGATGGGATCCGGTGCATTAGTGCTGGTATGATCGCACCTGCCAAGTGTTGCGCGATCAATGGTTATATGGATTCGACAGCACACCTGACTAACTTGTGATGCGTGAACGATCTTGAATTTGTGACGAAAGAAATGAGTTGGGAGGGGGGGCGGCGAAGTGGGTTGTTGGGATCAACGGTAAAAAGGATGATGTTCGTTCATGCAAGACTTATGAAATTTGATAGAGTTCTTCTCATCGACCGGTATCGTCTGACGTCACGAAAAATACGACACGAAAAAGAGGTGCAACACGAGGACTTCCCAGGAGGTCACCCATCCTAGTACTACTCTCGCCCAAGCACGCTTAACTGCGGAGTTCTGATGGGATCCGGTGCATTAGTGCTGGTATGATCGCACCTGCCAAGTGTTGCGCGATCAATGGTTATATGGATTCGACAGCACACCTGACTAACTTGTGATGCGTGAACGATCTTGAATTTGTGACGAAAGAAATGAGTTGGGAGGGGGGGCGGCGAAGTGGGTTGTTGGGATCAACGGTAAAAAGGATGATGTTCGTTCATGCAAGACTTATGAAATTTGATAGAGTTCTTCTCATCGACCGGTATCGTCTGACGTCACGAAAAATACGACACGAAAAAGAGGTGCAACACGAGGACTTCCCCGGAGGTCACCCATCCTAGTACTACTCTCGCCCAAGCACGCTTAACTGCGGAGTTCTGATGGGATCCGGTGCATTAGTGCTGGTATGATCGCACCTGCCAAGTGTTGCGCGATCAATGGTTATATGGATTCGACAGACACACGACTAACTTGTGATGCGTGAACGATCTTGAATTTGTGACGAAAGAAATGAGTTGGGAGGGGGCGGCGAAGTGGGTTGTTGGGATCAACGGTAAAAAGGATGATGTTCGTTCATGCAAGACTTATGAAATTTGATAGAGTTCTTCTCATCGACCGGTATCGTCTGACGTCACGAAAAATACGACACGAAAAAGAGGTGCAACACGAGGACTTCCCAGGAGGTCACCCATCCTAGTACTACTCTCGCCCAAGCACGCTTAACTGCGGAGTTCTGATGGGATCCGGTGCATTAGTGCTCGGTATGATCGCACCCGCCAAGTGTTGCGCGATCAATGGTTATATGGATTCGACAGACACACCGACTAACTTGTGATGCGTGAACGATCTTGAATTTGTGACGAAAGAAATGAGTTGGGAGGGGGCGGCGAAGTGGGTTGTTGGGATCAACGGTAAAAAGGATGATGTTCGTTCATGCAAGACTTATGAAATTTGATAGAGTTCTTCTCATCGACCGGTATCGTCGACGTCACGAAAAATACGACACGAAAAAGAGGTGCAACACGAGGACTTCCCGGAGGTCACCCATCCTAGTACTACTCTCGCCCAAGCACGCTTAACTGCGGAGTTCGATGGGATCCGGTGCATTAGTGCTTGGTATGATCGCACCTGCCAAGTGTTGCGCGATCAATGGTTATATGGATTCGACAGGCACACCGACTAACTTGTGATGCGTGAACGATCTTGAATTTGTGACGAAAGAAATGAGTTGGGAGGGGGCGGCGAAGTGGGTTGTTGGGATCAACGGTAAAAAGGATGATGTTCGTTCATGCAAGACTTATGAAATTTGATAGAGTTCTTCTCATCGACCGGTATCGTCCGACGTCACGAAAAATACGACACGAAAAAGAGGTGCAACACGAGGACTTCCCGGGAGGTCACCCATCCTAGTACTACTCTCGCCCAAGCACGCTTAACTGCGGAGTTCGATGGGATCCGGTGCATTAGTGCTTGGTATGATCGCACCCGCCAAGTGTTGCGCGATCAATGGTTATATGGATTCGACAAGACACACGACTAACTTGTGATGCGTGAACGATCTTGAATTTGTGACGAAAGAAATGAGTTGGGAGGGGGCGGCGAAGTGGGTTGTTGGGATCAACGGTAAAAAGGATGATGTTCGTTCATGCAAGACTTATGAAATTTGATAGAGTTCTTCTCATCGGCCGGTATCGTCGACGTCACGAAAAATACGACACGAAAAAGAGGTGCAACACGAGGACTTCCCGGGAGGTCACCCATCCTAGTACTACTCTCGCCCAAGCACGCTTAACTGCGGAGTTCGATGGGATCCGGTGCATTAGTGCTTGGTATGATCGCACCTGCCAAGTGTTGCGCGATCAATGGTTATATGGATTCGACAAGACACTCGACTAACTTGTGATGCGTGAACGATCTTGAATTTGTGACGAAAGAAATGAGTTGGGAGGGGGCGGCGAAGTGGGTTGTTGGGATCAACGGTAAAAAGGATGATGTTCGTTCATGCAAGACTTATGAAATTTGATAGAGTTCTTCTCATCGACCGGTATCGTCTGACGTCACGAAAAATACGACACGAAAAAGAGGTGCAACACGAGGACTTCCCAGGAGGTAACCCATCCTAGTACTACTCTCGCCCAAGCACGCTTAACTGCGGAGTTCTGATGGGATCCGGTGCATTAGTGCTTGGTATGATCGCACCTGCCAAGTGTTGCGCGATCAATGGTTATATGGATTCGACAGACACACCGACTAACTTGTGATGCGTGAACGATCTTGAATTTGTGACGAAAGAAATGAGTTGGGAGGGGGCGGCGAAGTGGGTTGTTGGGATCAACGGTAAAAAGGATGATGTTCGTTCATGCAAGACTTATGAAATTTGATAGAGTTCTTCTCATCGGCCGGTATCGTCGACGTCACGAAAAATACGACACGAAAAAGAGGTGCAACACGAGGACTTCCCAGGAGGTCACCCATCCTAGTACTACTCTCGCCCAAGCACGCTTAAGCTGCGGAGTTCGATGGGATCCGGTGCATTAGTGCTTGGTATGATCGCACCTGCCAAGTGTTGCGCGATCAATGGTTATATGGATTCGACAGACACACGACTAACTTGTGATGCGTGAACGATCTTGAATTTGTGACGAAAGAAATGAGTTGGGAGGGGGCGGCGAAGTGGGTTGTTGGGATCAACGGTAAAAAGGATGATGTTCGTTCATGCAAGACTTATGAAATTTGATAGAGTTCTTCTCATCGGCCGGTATCGTCGACGTCACGAAAAATACGACACGAAAAAGAGGTGCAACACGAGGACTTCCCGGGAGGTCACCCATCCTAGTACTACTCTCGCCCAAGCACGCTTAACTGCGGAGTTCGATGGGATCCGGTGCATTAGTGCTTGGTATGATCGCACCTGCCAAGTGTTGCGCGATCAATGGTTATATGGATTCGACGAGACACACGACTAACTTGTGATGCGTGAACGATCTTGAATTTGTGACGAAAGAAATGAGTTGGGAGGGGGCGGCGAAGTGGGTTGTTGGGATCAACGGTAAAAAGGATGATGTTCGTTCATGCAAGACTTATGAAATTTGATAGAGTTCTTCTCATCGACCGGTATCGTCGACGTCACGAAAAATACGACACGAAAAAGAGGTGCAACACGAGGACTTCCCGGAGGTCACCCATCCTAGTACTACTCTCGCCCAAGCACGCTTAACTGCGGAGTTCGATGGGATCCGGTGCATTAGTGCTTGGTATGATCGCACCTGCCAAGTGTTGCGCGATCAATGGTTATATGGATTCGACAGACACACCGACTAACTTGTGATGCGTGAACGATCTTGAATTTGTGACGAAAGAAATGAGTTGGGAGGGGGCGGCGAAGTGGGTTGTTGGGATCAACGGTAAAAAGGATGATGTTCGTTCATGCAAGACTTATGAAATTTGATAGAGTTCTTCTCATCGACCGGTATCGTCTGACGTCACGAAAAATACGACACGAAAAAGAGGTGCAACACGAGGACTTCCCAGGAGGTCACCCATCCTAGTACTACTCTCGCCCAAGCACGCTTAACTGCGGAGTTCGATGGGATCCGGTGCATTAGTGCTTGGTATGATCGCACCTGCCAAGTGTTGCGCGATCAATGGTTATATGGATTCGACAGGCACACCGACTAACTTGTGATGCGTGAACGATCTTGAATTTGTGACGAAAGAAATGAGTTGGGAGGGGGCGGCGAAGTGGGTTGTTGGGATCAACGGTAAAAAGGATGATGTTCGTTCATGCAAGACTTATGAAATTTGATAGAGTTCTTCTCATCGACCGGTATCGTCCGACGTCACGAAAAATACGACACGAAAAAGAGGTGCAACACGAGGACTTCCCGGAGGTCACCCATCCTAGTACTACTCTCGCCCAAGCACGCTTAACTGCGGAGTTCGATGGGATCCGGTGCATTAGTGCTTGGTATGATCGCACCTGCCAAGTGTTGCGCGATCAATGGTTATATGGATTCGACAGACACACCGACTAACTTGTGATGCGTGAACGATCTTGAATTTGTGACGAAAGAAATGAGTTGGGAGGGGGCGGCGAAGTGGGTTGTTGGGATCAACGGTAAAAAGGATGATGTTCGTTCATGCAAGACTTATGAAATTTGATAGAGTTCTTCTCATCGGCCGGTATCGTCGACGTCACGAAAAATACGACACGAAAAAGAGGTGCAACACGAGGACTTCCCGGGAGGTCACCCATCCTAGTACTACTCTCGCCCAAGCACGCTTAACTGCGGAGTTCGATGGGATCCGGTGCATTAGTGCTTGGTATGATCGCACCCGCCAAGTGTTGCGCGATCAATGGTTATATGGATTCGACAGACACACTCGACTAACTTGTGATGCGTGAACGATCTTGAATTTGTGACGAAAGAAATGAGTTGGGAGGGGGCGGCGAAGTGGGTTGTTGGGATCAACGGTAAAAAGGATGATGTTCGTTCATGCAAGACTTATGAAATTTGATAGAGTTCTTCTCATCGACCAGGTATCGTCGACGTCACGAAAAATACGACACGAAAAAGAGGTGCAACACGAGGACTTCCCAGGAGGTCACCCATCCTAGTACTACTCTCGCCCAAGCACGCTTAACTGCGGAGTTCGATGGGATCCGGTGCATTAGTGCTTGGTATGATCGCACCCGCCAAGTGTTGCGCGATCAATGGTTATATGGATTCGACAGACACTCGACTAACTTGTGATGCGTGAACGATCTTGAATTTGTGACGAAAGAAATGAGTTGGGAGGGGGCGGCGAAGTGGGTTGTTGGGATCAACGGTAAAAAGGATGATGTTCGTTCATGCAAGACTTATGAAATTTGATAGAGTTCTTCTCATCGACCGGTATCGTCTGACGTCACGAAAAATACGACACGAAAAAGAGGTGCAACACGAGGACTTCCCAGGAGGTCACCCATCCTAGTACTACTCTCGCCCAAGCACGCTTAACTGCGGAGTTCTGATGGGATCCGGTGCATTAGTGCTTGGTATGATCGCACCTGCCAAGTGTTGCGCGATCAATGGTTATATGGATTCGACAAGACACTCGACTAACTTGTGATGCGTGAACGATCTTGAATTTGTGACGAAAGAAATGAGTTGGGAGGGGGCGGCGAAGTGGGTTGTTGGGATCAACGGTAAAAAGGATGATGTTCGTTCATGCAAGACTTATGAAATTTGATAGAGTTCTTCTCATCGGCCGGTATCGTCTGACGTCACGAAAAATACGACACGAAAAAGAGGTGCAACACGAGGACTTCCCAGGAGGTCACCCATCCTAGTACTACTCTCGCCCAAGCACGCTTAACTGCGGAGTTCCGATGGGATCCGGTGCATTAGTGCTTGGTATGATCGCACCTGCCAAGTGTTGCGCGATCAATGGTTATATGGATTCGACAGACACTCGACTAACTTGTGATGCGTGAACGATCTTGAATTTGTGACGAAAGAAATGAGTTGGGAGGGGGCGGCGAAGTGGGTTGTTGGGATCAACGGTAAAAAGGATGATGTTCGTTCATGCAAGACTTATGAAATTTGATAGAGTTCTTCTCATCGGCCGGTATCGTCGACGTCACGAAAAATACGACACGAAAAAGAGGTGCAACACGAGGACTTCCCGGGAGGTCACCCATCCTAGTACTACTCTCGCCCAAGCACGCTTAACTCGCGGAGTTCGATGGGATCCGGTGCATTAGTGCTTGGTATGATCGCACCTGCCAAGTGTTGCGCGATCAATGGTTATATGGATTCGACAAGACACTCGACTAACTTGTGATGCGTGAACGATCTTGAATTTGTGACGAAAGAAATGAGTTGGGAGGGGGCGGCGAAGTGGGTTGTTGGGATCAACGGTAAAAAGGATGATGTTCGTTCATGCAAGACTTATGAAATTTGATAGAGTTCTTCTCATCGGCCGGTATCGTCTGACGTCACGAAAAATACGACACGAAAAAGAGGTGCAACACGAGGACTTCCCAGGAGGTCACCCATCCTAGTACTACTCTCGCCCAAGCACGCTTAACTGCGGAGTTCTGATGGGATCCGGTGCATTAGTGCTGGTATGATCGCACCTGCCAAGTGTTGCGCGATCAATGGTTATATGGATTCGACAGCACACCTGACTAACTTGTGATGCGTGAACGATCTTGAATTTGTGACGAAAGAAATGAGTTGGGAGGGGGGGCGGCGAAGTGGGTTGTTGGGATCAACGGTAAAAAGGATGATGTTCGTTCATGCAAGACTTATGAAATTTGATAGAGTTCTTCTCATCGACCGGTATCGTCTGACGTCACGAAAAATACGACACGAAAAAGAGGTGCAACACGAGGACTTCCCAGGAGGTCACCCATCCTAGTACTACTCTCGCCCAAGCACGCTTAACTGCGGAGTTCTGATGGGATCCGGTGCATTAGTGCTGGTATGATCGCACCTGCCAAGTGTTGCGCGATCAATGGTTATATGGATTCGACAGCACACCTGACTAACTTGTGATGCGTGAACGATCTTGAATTTGTGACGAAAGAAATGAGTTGGGAGGGGGGGCGGCGAAGTGGGTTGTTGGGATCAACGGTAAAAAGGATGATGTTCGTTCATGCAAGACTTATGAAATTTGATAGAGTTCTTCTCATCGACCGGTATCGTCTGACGTCACGAAAAATACGACACGAAAAAGAGGTGCAACACGAGGACTTCCCGGGAGGTCACCCATCCTAGTACTACTCTCGCCCAAGCACGCTTAACTGCGGAGTTCTGATGGGATCCGGTGCATTAGTGCTGGTATGATCGCACCTGCCAAGTGTTGCGCGATCAATGGTTATATGGATTCGACAGCACACCTGACTAACTTGTGATGCGTGAACGATCTTGAATTTGTGACGAAAGAAATGAGTTGGGAGGGGGGGCGGCGAAGTGGGTTGTTGGGATCAACGGTAAAAAGGATGATGTTCGTTCATGCAAGACTTATGAAATTTGATAGAGTTCTTCTCATCGGCCGGTATCGTCTGACGTCACGAAAAATACGACACGAAAAAGAGGTGCAACACGAGGACTTCCCAGGAGGTCACCCATCCTAGTACTACTCTCGCCCAAGCACGCTTAACTGCGGAGTTCTGATGGGATCCGGTGCATTAGTGCTGGTATGATCGCACCTGCCAAGTGTTGCGCGATCAATGGTTATACGGATTACACAGCTCACCTGCCTAACTTGTGATGCGTGAACGATCTTGAATTTGTGACGAAAGAAATGAGTTGGGAGGGGGGGCGGCGAAGTGGGTTGTTGGGATCAACGGTAAAAAGGATGATGTTCGTTCATGCAAGACTTATGAAATTTGATAGAGTTCTTCTCATCGACCGGTATCGTCTGACGTCACGAAAAATACGACACGAAAAAGAGGTGCAACACGAGGACTTCCCAGGAGGTCACCCATCCTAGTACTACTCTCGCCCAAGCACGCTTAACTGCGGAGTTCTGATGGGATCCGGTGCATTAGTGCTGGTATGATCGCACCTGCCAAGTGTTGCGCGATCAATGGTTATATGGATTCGACAGCACACCTGACTAACTTGTGATGCGTGAACGATCTTGAATTTGTGACGAAAGAAATGAGTTGGGAGGGGGCGGCGAAGTGGGTTGTTGGGATCAACGGTAAAAAGGATGATGTTCGTTCATGCAAGACTTATGAAATTTGATAGAGTTCTTCTCATCGACCGGTATCGTCTGACGTCACGAAAAATACGACACGAAAAAGAGGTGCAACACGAGGACTTCCCAGGAGGTCACCCATCCTAGTACTACTCTCGCCCAAGCACGCTTAACTGCGGAGTTCGATGGGATCCGGTGCATTAGTGCTTGGTATGATCGCACCTGCCAAGTGTTGCGCGATCAATGGTTATATGGATTCGACAGACACACGACTAACTTGTGATGCGTGAACGATCTTGAATTTGTGACGAAAGAAATGAGTTGGGAGGGGGCGGCGAAGTGGGTTGTTGGGATCAACGGTAAAAAGGATGATGTTCGTTCATGCAAGACTTATGAAATTTGATAGAGTTCTTCTCATCGGCCAGGTATCGTCCGACGTCACGAAAAATACGACACGAAAAAGAGGTGCAACACGAGGACTTCCCAGGAGGTCACCCATCCTAGTACTACTCTCGCCCAAGCACGCTTAGCTGCGGAGTTACGATGGGATCCGGTGCATTAGTGCTTGGTATGATCGCACCTGCCAAGTGTTGCGCGATCAATGGTTATATGGATTCGACAGACACACCGACTAACTTGTGATGCGTGAACGATCTTGAATTTGTGACGAAAGAAATGAGTTGGGAGGGGGCGGCGAAGTGGGTTGTTGGGATCAACGGTAAAAAGGATGATGTTCGTTCATGCAAGACTTATGAAATTTGATAGAGTTCTTCTCATCGGCCGGTATCGTCGACGTCACGAAAAATACGACACGAAAAAGAGGTGCAACACGAGGACTTCCCGGGAGGTCACCCATCCTAGTACTACTCTCGCCCAAGCACGCTTAACTGCGGAGTTCGATGGGATCCGGTGCATTAGTCTTTGGTATGATCGCACCTGCCAAGTGTTGCGCGATCAATGGTTATATGGATTCGACAGCACACGACTAACTTGTGATGCGTGAACGATCTTGAATTTGTGACGAAAGAAATGAGTTGGGAGGGGGCGGCGAAGTGGGTTGTTGGGATCAACGGTAAAAAGGATGATGTTCGTTCATGCAAGACTTATGAAATTTGATAGAGTTCTTCTCATCGGCCGGTATCGTGCGACGTCACGAAAAATACGACACGAAAAAGAGGTGCAACACGAGGACTTCCCAGGAGGTCACCCATCCTAGTACTACTCTCGCCCAAGCACGCTTAACTGCGGAGTTCGATGGGATCCGGTGCATTAGTGCTTGGTATGATCGCACCTGCCAAGTGTTGCGCGATCAATGGTTATATGGATTCGACAGACACACCGACTAACTTGTGATGCGTGAACGATCTTGAATTTGTGACGAAAGAAATGAGTTGGGAGGGGGCGGCGAAGTGGGTTGTTGGGATCAACGGTAAAAAGGATGATGTTCGTTCATGCAAGACTTATGAAATTTGATAGAGTTCTTCCATCGGATCGATGTGAACCGGTATCGTCTGACGTCACGAAAAATACGACACGAAAAGGAGGTGCAACACGAGGACTTCCCAGGAGGTCACCCATCCTAGTACTACTCTCGCCCAAGCACGCTTAACTGCGGAGTTACGATGGGATCCGGTGCATTAGTGCTTGGTATGATCGCACCTGCCAAGTGTTGCGCGATCAATGGTTATATGGATTCGACAGACACACGACTAACTTGTGATGCGTGAACGATCTTGAATTTGTGACGAAAGAAATGAGTTGGGAGGGGGCGGCGAAGTGGGTTGTTGGGATCAACGGTAAAAAGGATGATGTTCGTTCATGCAAGACTTATGAAATTTGATAGAGTTCTTCTCATCGACCGGTATCGTCGACGTCACGAAAAATACGACACGAAAAAGAGGTGCAACACGAGGACTTCCCAGGAGGTCACCCATCCTAGTACTACTCTCGCCCAAGCACGCTTAACTGCGGAGTTCGATGGGATCCGGTGCATTAGTGCTTGGTATGATCGCACTCGCCAAGTGTTGCGCGATCAATGGTTATATGGATTCGACAAGACACCCGACTAACTTGTGATGCGTGAACGATCTTGAATTTGTGACGAAAGAAATGAGTTGGGAGGGGGGGCGGCGAAGTGGGTTGTTGGGATCAACGGTAAAAAGGATGATGTTCGTTCATGCAAGACTTATGAAATTTGATAGAGTTCTTCTCATCGACCGGTATCGTCTGACGTCACGAAAAATACGACACGAAAAAGAGGTGCAACACGAGGACTTCCCAGGAGGTCACCCATCCTAGTACTACTCTCGCCCAAGCACGCTTAACTGCGGAGTTCTGATGGGATCCGGTGCATTAGTGCTGGTATGATCGCACCTGCCAAGTGTTGCGCGATCAATGGTTATATGGATTCGACAGCACACCTGACTAACTTGTGATGCGTGAACGATCTTGAATTTGTGACGAAAGAAATGAGTTGGGAGGGGGGGCGGCGAAGTGGGTTGTTGGGATCAACGGTAAAAAGGATGATGTTCGTTCATGCAAGACTTATGAAATTTGATAGAGTTCTTCTCATCGGCCGGTATCGTCTGACGTCACGAAAAATACGACACGAAAAAGAGGTGCAACACGAGGACTTCCCAGGAGGTCACCCATCCTAGTACTACTCTCGCCCAAGCACGCTTAACTGCGGAGTTCGATGGGATCCGGTGCATTAGTGCTTGGTATGATCGCACTCGCCAAGTGTTGCGCGATCAATGGTTATATGGATTCGACAGCACACTCGACTAACTTGTGATGCGTGAACGATCTTGAATTTGTGACGAAAGAAATGAGTTGGGAGGGGGCGGCGAAGTGGGTTGTTGGGATCAACGGTAAAAAGGATGATGTTCGTTCATGCAAGACTTATGAAATTTGATAGAGTTCTTCTCATCGACCAGGTATCGTCGACGTCACGAAAAATACGACACGAAAAAGAGGTGCAACACGAGGACTTCCCAGGAGGTCACCCATCCTAGTACTACTCTCGCCCAAGCACGCTTAAGCTGCGGAGTTCGATGGGATCCGGTGCATTAGTGCTTTGGTATGATCGCACCTGCCAAGTGTTGCGCGATCAATGGTTATATGGATTCGACAGGCACACGACTAACTTGTGATGCGTGAACGATCTTGAATTTGTGACGAAAGAAATGAGTTGGGAGGGGGGCGGCGAAGTGGGTTGTTGGGATCAACGGTAAAAAGGATGATGTTCGTTCATGCAAGACTTATGAAATTTGATAGAGTTCTTCTCATCGACCAGGTATCGTCGACGTCACGAAAAATACGACACGAAAAAGAGGTGCAACACGAGGACTTCCCGGGAGGTCACCCATCCTAGTACTACTCTCGCCCAAGCACGCTTAACTGCGGAGTTCGATGGGATCCGGTGCATTAGTGCTTGGTATGATCGCACTCGCCAAGTGTTGCGCGATCAATGGTTATATGGATTCGACAAGACACACGACTAACTTGTGATGCGTGAACGATCTTGAATTTGTGACGAAAGAAATGAGTTGGGAGGGGGCGGCGAAGTGGGTTGTTGGGATCAACGGTAAAAAGGATGATGTTCGTTCATGCAAGACTTATGAAATTTGATAGAGTTCTTCTCATCGGCCAGGTATCGTCCGACGTCACGAAAAATACGACACGAAAAAGAGGTGCAACACGAGGACTTCCCGGGAGGTCACCCATCCTAGTACTACTCTCGCCCAAGCACGCTTAACTGCGGAGTTCGATGGGATCCGGTGCATTAGTCTCTGGTATGATCGCACCTGCCAAGTGTTGCGCGATCAATGGTTATATGGATTCGACGAGCACACCGACTAACTTGTGATGCGTGAACGATCTTGAATTTGTGACGAAAGAAATGAGTTGGGAGGGGGCGGCGAAGTGGGTTGTTGGGATCAACGGTAAAAAGGATGATGTTCGTTCATGCAAGACTTATGAAATTTGATAGAGTTCTTCTCATCGGCCGGTATCGTCGACGTCACGAAAAATACGACACGAAAAAGAGGTGCAACACGAGGACTTCCCAGGAGGTCACCCATCCTAGTACTACTCTCGCCCAAGCACGCTTAACTGCGGAGTTACGATGGGATCCGGTGCATTAGTCTTTGGTATGATCGCACTCGCCAAGTGTTGCGCGATCAATGGTTATATGGATTCGACGAGCACACTGACTAACTTGTGATGCGTGAACGATCTTGAATTTGTGACGAAAGAAATGAGTTGGGAGGGGGCGGCGAAGTGGGTTGTTGGGATCAACGGTAAAAAGGATGATGTTCGTTCATGCAAGACTTATGAAATTTGATAGAGTTCTTCTCATCGGCCGGTATCGTCGACGTCACGAAAAATACGACACGAAAAAGAGGTGCAACACGAGGACTTCCCAGGAGGTCACCCATCCTAGTACTACTCTCGCCCAAGCACGCTTAACTGCGGAGTTCGATGGGATCCGGTGCATTAGTGCTTGGTATGATCGCACCTGCCAAGTGTTGCGCGATCAATGGTTATATGGATTCGACGAGCACACTCGACTAACTTGTGATGCGTGAACGATCTTGAATTTGTGACGAAAGAAATGAGTTGGGAGGGGGCGGCGAAGTGGGTTGTTGGGATCAACGGTAAAAAGGATGATGTTCGTTCATGCAAGACTTATGAAATTTGATAGAGTTCTTCTCATCGGCCGGTATCGTCGACGTCACGAAAAATACGACACGAAAAAGAGGTGCAACACGAGGACTTCCCGGAGGTCACCCATCCTAGTACTACTCTCGCCCAAGCACGCTTAGCTGCGGAGTTCGATGGGATCCGGTGCATTAGTGCTTGGTATGATCGCACCTGCCAAGTGTTGCGCGATCAATGGTTATATGGATTCGACAGACACACGACTAACTTGTGATGCGTGAACGATCTTGAATTTGTGACGAAAGAAATGAGTTGGGAGGGGGCGGCGAAGTGGGTTGTTGGGATCAACGGTAAAAAGGATGATGTTCGTTCATGCAAGACTTATGAAATTTGATAGAGTTCTTCTCATCGGCCGGTATCGTCGACGTCACGAAAAATACGACACGAAAAGAGGTGCAACACGAGGACTTCCCGGGAGGTCACCCATCCTAGTACTACTCTCGCCCAAGCACGCTTAACTGCGGAGTTCGATGGGATCCGGTGCATTAGTGCTTGGTATGATCGCACCCTGCCAAGTGTTGCGCGATCAATGGTTATATGGATTCGACAGACACACGACTAACTTGTGATGCGTGAACGATCTTGAATTTGTGACGAAAGAAATGAGTTGGGAGGGGGCGGCGAAGTGGGTTGTTGGGATCAACGGTAAAAAGGATGATGTTCGTTCATGCAAGACTTATGAAATTTGATAGAGTTCTTCTCATCGGCCGGTATCGTCGACGTCACGAAAAATACGACACGAAAAAGAGGTGCAACACGAGGACTTCCCGGGAGGTCACCCATCCTAGTACTACTCTCGCCCAAGCACGCTTAACTGCGGAGTTCGATGGGATCCGGTGCATTAGTCTTGGTATGATCGCACCTGCAAGTGTTGCGCGATCAATGGTTATATGGATTCGACGACACACGACTAACTTGTGATGCGTGAACGATCTTGAATTTGTGACGAAAGAAATGAGTTGGGAGGGGGGGTGGCGAAGTGGGTTGTTGGGATCAACGGTAAAAAGGATGATGTTCGTTCATGCAAGACTTATGAAATTTGATAGAGTTCTTCTCATCGGCCGGTATCGTCGGCGTCACGAAAAATACGACACGAAAAAGAGGTGCAACACGAGGACTTCCCAGGAGGTCACCCATCCTAGTACTACTCTCGCCCAAGCACGCTTAACTGCGGAGTTCGATGGGATCCGGTGCATTAGTGCTTGGTATGATCGCACCTGCCAAGTGTTGCGCGATCAATGGTTATATGGATTCGACAGGCACACGACTAACTTGTGATGCGTGAACGATCTTGAATTTGTGACGAAAGAAATGAGTTGGGAGGGGGCGGCGAAGTGGGTTGTTGGGATCAACGGTAAAAAGGATGATGTTCGTTCATGCAAGACTTATGAAATTTGATAGAGTTCTTCTCATCGGCCAGGTATCGTCGACGTCACGAAAAATACGACACGAAAAAGAGGTGCAACACGAGGACTTCCCGGGAGGTCACCCATCCTAGTACTACTCTCGCCCAAGCACGCTTAACTGCGGAGTTACGATGGGATCCGGTGCATTAGTCTTGGTATGATCGCACCTGCCAAGTGTTGCGCGATCAATGGTTATATGGATTCGACGGCACACACGACTAACTTGTGATGCGTGAACGATCTTGAATTTGTGACGAAAGAAATGAGTTGGGAGGGGGCGGCGAAGTGGGTTGTTGGGATCAACGGTAAAAAGGATGATGTTCGTTCATGCAAGACTTATGAAATTTGATAGAGTTCTTCTCATCGACCGGTATCGTCGACGTCACGAAAAATACGACACGAAAAAGAGGTGCAACACGAGGACTTCCCGGAGGTCACCCATCCTAGTACTACTCTCGCCCAAGCACGCTTAAGCTGCGGAGTTACGATGGGATCCGGTGCATTAGTCTTTGGTATGATCGCACTTTGCCAAGTGTTGCGCGATCAATGGTTATATGGATTCGACGGCACACGACTAACTTGTGATGCGTGAACGATCTTGAATTTGTGGACGAAAGAAATGAGTTGGGAGGGGGCGGCGAAGTGGGTTGTTGGGATCAACGGTAAAAAGGATGATGTTCGTTCATGCAAGACTTATGAAATTTGATAGAGTTCTTCTCATCGACCAGGTATCGTCGGCGTCCACGAAAAATACGACACGAAAAAGAGGTGCAACACGAGGACTTCCCGGGAGGTCACCCATCCTAGTACTACTCTCGCCCAAGCACGCTTAGCTGCGGAGTTCGATGGGATCCGGTGCATTAGTCTTGGTATGATCGCACCTGCCAAGTGTTGCGCGATCAATGGTTATATGGATTCGACTGACACTGACTAACTTGTGATGCGTGAACGATCTTGAATTTGTGACGAAAGAAATGAGTTGGGAGGGGGCGGCGAAGTGGGTTGTTGGGATCAACGGTAAAAAGGATGATGTTCGTTCATGCAAGACTTATGAAATTTGATAGAGTTCTTCTCATCGGCCGGTATCGTCGACGTCACGAAAAATACGACACGAAAAAGAGGTGCAACACGAGGACTTCCCAGGAGGTCACCCATCCTAGTACTACTCTCGCCCAAGCACGCTTAAGCTGCGGAGTTCGATGGGATCCGGTGCATTAGTCTTGGTATGATCGCACTCTGCCAAGTGTTGCGCGATCAATGGTTATATGGATTCGACATGACACACGACTAACTTGTGATGCGTGAACGATCTTGAATTTGTGACGAAAGAAATGAGTTGGGAGGGGGGCGGCGAAGTGGGTTGTTGGGATCAACGGTAAAAAGGATGATGTTCGTTCATGCAAGACTTATGAAATTTGATAGAGTTCTTCTCATCGGCCAGGTATCGTCGGCGTCACGAAAAATACGACACGAAAAAGAGGTGCAACACGAGGACTTCCCGGGAGGTCACCCATCCTAGTACTACTCTCGCCCAAGCACGCTTAAGCTGCGGAGTTCGATGGGATCCGGTGCATTAGTCTTTGGTATGATCGCACACTGCCAAGTGTTGCGCGATCAATGGTTATATGGATTCGACGACACACGACTAACTTGTGATGCGTGAACGATCTTGAATTTGTGACGAAAGAAATGAGTTGGGAGGGGGCGGCGAAGTGGGTTGTTGGGATCAACGGTAAAAAGGATGATGTTCGTTCATGCAAGACTTATGAAATTTGATAGAGTTCTTCTCATCGGCTAGGTATCGTCGACGTCACGAAAAATACGACACGAAAAAGAGGTGCAACACGAGGACTTCCAGGAGGTCACCCATCCTAGTACTACTCTCGCCCAAGCACGCTTAGCTGCGGAGTTACGATGGGATCCGGTGCATTAGTCTTTGAGTATGATCGCACCTGCCAAGTGTTGCGCGATCAATGGTTATATGGATTCGACGGACACACGACTAACTTGTGATGCGTGAACGATCTTGAATTTGTGGCGAAAGAAATGAGTTGGGAGGGGGCGGCGAAGTGGGTTGTTGGGATCAACGGTAAAAAGGATGATGTTCGTTCATGCAAGACTTATGAAATTTGATAGAGTTCTTCTCATCGGCCGGTATCGTCGACGTCACGAAAAATACGACACGAAAAAGAGGTGCAACACGAGGACTTCCCAGGAGGTCACCCATCCTAGTACTACTCTCGCCCAAGCACGCTTAAGCTGCGGAGTTCGATGGGATCCGGTGCATTAGTCTTTGGTATGATCGCACACTGCCAAGTGTTGCGCGATCAATGGTTATATGGATTCGACGGCACACGACTAACTTGTGATGCGTGAACGATCTTGAATTTGTGACGAAAGAAATGAGTTGGGAGGGGGCGGCGAAGTGGGTTGTTGGGATCAACGGTAAAAAGGATGATGTTCGTTCATGCAAGACTTATGAAATTTGATAGAGTTCTTCTCATCGGCCGGTATCGTCGACGTCACGAAAAATACGACACGAAAAAGAGGTGCAACACGAGGACTTCCCGGGAGGTCACCCATCCTAGTACTACTCTCGCCCAAGCACGCTTAGCTGCGGAGTTCGATGGGATCCGGTGCATTAGTCTTTGGTATGATCGCACCTGCCAAGTGTTGCGCGATCAATGGTTATATGGATTCGACAGCACACTGACTAACTTGTGATGCGTGAACGATCTTGAATTTGTGACGAAAGAAATGAGTTGGGAGGGGGCGGCGAAGTGGGTTGTTGGGATCAACGGTAAAAAGGATGATGTTCGTTCATGCAAGACTTATGAAATTTGATAGAGTTCTTCTCATCGGCCAGGTATCGTCGACGTCACGAAAAATACGACCACGAAAAAGAGGTGCAACACGAGGACTTCCCAGGAGGTCACCCATCCTAGTACTACTCTCGCCCAAGCGCGCTTAGCTGCGGAGTTCGATGGGATCCGGTGCATTAGTCTTTGGTATGATCGCACACTGCCAAGTGTTGCGCGATCAATGGTTATATGGATTCGACGGCACACTGACTAACTTGTGATGCGTGAACGATCTTGAATTTGTGACGAAAGAAATGAGTTGGGAGGGGGCGGCGAAGTGGGTTGTTGGGATCAACGGTAAAAAGGATGATGTTCGTTCATGCAAGACTTATGAAATTTGATAGAGTTCTTCTCATCGGCCGGTATCGTCGGCGTCACGAAAATACGACACGAAAAAGAGGTGCAACACGAGGACTTCCCAGGAGGTCACCCATCCTAGTACTACTCTCGCCCAAGCACGCTTAGCTGCGGAGTTCGATGGGATCCGGTGCATTAGTGTCGGTATGATCGCACTTGCCAAGTGTTGCGCGATCAATGGTTATATGGATTCGACGACACACTGACTAACTTGTGATGCGTGAACGATCTTGAATTTGTGACGAAAGAAATGAGTTGGGAGGGGGCGGCGAAGTGGGTTGTTGGGATCAACGGTAAAAAGGATGATGTTCGTTCATGCAAGACTTATGAAATTTGATAGAGTTCTTCTCATCGGCCGGTATCGTCGACGTCACGAAAAATACGACACGAAAAAGAGGTGCAACACGAGGACTTCCCAGGAGGTCACCCATCCTAGTACTACTCTCGCCCAAGCACGCTTAAGCTGCGGAGTTCGATGGGATCCGGTGCATTAGTGCTTGGTATGATCGCACCTGCCAAGTGTTGCGCGATCAATGGTTATATGGATTCGACGGACACACGACTAACTTGTGATGCGTGAACGATCTTGAATTTGTGACGAAAGAAATGAGTTGGGAGGGGCGGCGAAGTGGGTTGTTGGGATCAACGGTAAAAAGGATGATGTTCGTTCATGCAAGACTTATGAAATTTGATAGAGTTCTTCTCATCGGCCGGTATCGTCGACGTCACGAAAAATACGACACGAAAAGAGGTGCAACACGAGGACTTCCCAGGAGGTCACCCATCCTAGTACTACTCTCGCCCAAGCACGCTTAGCTGCGGAGTTACGATGGGATCCGGTGCATTAGTCTTGGTATGATCGCACTTGCCAAGTGTTGCGCGATCAATGGTTATATGGATTCGACAGCACACGACTAACTTGTGATGCGTGAACGATCTTGAATTTGTGGCGAAAGAAATGAGTTGGGAGGGGGCGGCGAAGTGGGTTGTTGGGATCAACGGTAAAAAGGATGATGTTCGTTCATGCAAGACTTATGAAATTTGATAGAGTTCTTCTCATCGGCCGGTATCGTCTGACGTCACGAAAAATACGACACGAAAAAGAGGTGCAACACGAGGACTTCCCAGGAGGTCACCCATCCTAGTACTACTCTCGCCCAAGCACGCTTAGCTGCGGAGTTACGATGGGATCCGGTGCATTAGTCTTTGGTATGATCGCACCTGCCAAGTGTTGCGCGATCAATGGTTATATGGATTCGACGGCACACGACTAACTTGTGATGCGTGAACGATCTTGAATTTGTGACGAAAGAAATGAGTTGGGAGGGGGCGGCGAAGTGGGTTGTTGGGATCAACGGTAAAAAGGATGATGTTCGTTCATGCAAGACTTATGAAATTTGATAGAGTTCTTCTCATCGGCCGGTATCGTCGACGTCACGAAAAATACGACACGAAAAAGAGGTGCAACACGAGGACTTCCCAGGAGGTCACCCATCCTAGTACTACTCTCGCCCAAGCACGCTTAAGCTGCGGAGTTCGATGGGATCCGGTGCATTAGTCTTGGTATGATCGCACACTGCCAAGTGTTGCGCGATCAATGGTTATATGGATTCGACGGCACACGACTAACTTGTGATGCGTGAACGATCTTGAATTTGTGACGAAAGAAATGAGTTGGGAGGGGGCGGCGAAGTGGGTTGTTGGGATCAACGGTAAAAGGATGATGTTCGTTCATGCAAGACTTATGAAATTTGATAGAGTTCTTCTCATCGGCCGGTATCGTCGACGTCACGAAAAATACGACACGAAAAAGAGGTGCAACACGAGGACTTCCCAGGAGGTCACCCATCCTAGTACTACTCTCGCCCAAGCACGCTTAAGCTGCGGAGTTCGATGGGATCCGGTGCATTAGTCTTTGGTATGATCGCACTTGCCAAGTGTTGCGCGATCAATGGTTATATGGATTCGACGGCACACGACTAACTTGTGATGCGTGAGCGATCTTGAATTTGTGACGAAAGAAATGAGTTGGGAGGGGGCGGCGAAGTGGGTTGTTGGGATCAGCGGTAAAAAGGATGATGTTCGTTCATGCAAGACTTATGAAATTTGATAGAGTTCTTCTCATCGGCCGGTATCGTCGACGTCACGAAAAATACGACACGAAAAAGAGGTGCAACACGAGGACTTCCCGGAGGTCACCCATCCTAGTACTACTCTCGCCCAAGCACGCTTAGCTGCGGAGTTCGATGGGATCCGGTGCATTAGTCTTGGTATGATCGCACACTGCCAAGTGTTGCGCGATCAATGGTTATATGGATTCGACGACACACGACTAACTTGTGATGCGTGAACGATCTTGAATTTGTGACGAAAGAAATGAGTTGGGAGGGGGCGGCGAAGTGGGTTGTTGGGATCAACGGTAAAAAGGATGATGTTCGTTCATGCAAGACTTATGAAATTTGATAGAGTTCTTCTCATCGGCCAGGTATCGTCGACGTCACGAAAAATACGACACGAAAAAGAGGTGCAACACGAGGACTTCCCAGGAGGTCACCCATCCTAGTACTACTCTCGCCCAAGCACGCTTAGCTGCGGAGTTCGATGGGATCCGGTGCATTAGTGCTTGGTATGATCGCACTTGCCAAGTGTTGCGCGATCAATGGTTATATGGATTCGACAGACACACGACTAACTTGTGATGCGTGAACGATCTTGAATTTGTGACGAAAGAAATGAGTTGGGAGGGGCGGCGAAGTGGGTTGTTGGGATCAACGGTAAAAAGGATGATGTTCGTTCATGCAAGACTTATGAAATTTGATAGAGTTCTTCTCATCGGCCAGGTATCGTCGACGTCACGAAAAATACGACACGAAAAGAGGTGCAACACGAGGACTTCCCGGGAGGTCACCCATCCTAGTACTACTCTCGCCCAAGCACGCTTAAGCTGCGGAGTTCGATGGGATCCGGTGCATTAGTCTTGGTATGATCGCACCTGCCAAGTGTTGCGCGATCAATGGTTATATGGATTCGACAGCACACGACTAACTTGTGATGCGTGAACGATCTTGAATTTGTGACGAAAGAAATGAGTTGGGAGGGGGCGGCGAAGTGGGTTGTTGGGATCAACGGTAAAAAGGATGATGTTCGTTCATGCAAGACTTATGAAATTTGATAGAGTTCTTCTCATCGGCCGGTATCGTCGACGTCACGAAAAATACGACACGAAAAAGAGGTGCAACACGAGGACTTCCCAGGAGGTCACCCATCCTAGTACTACTCTCGCCCAAGCACGCTTAACTGCGGAGTTCGATGGGATCCGGTGCATTAGTGCTTGGTATGATCGCACCTGCCAAGTGTTGCGCGATCAATGGTTATATGGATTCGACAGCACACCTGACTAACTTGTGATGCGTGAACGATCTTGAATTTGTGACGAAAGAAATGAGTTGGGAGGGGGGGCGGCGAAGTGGGTTGTTGGGATCAACGGTAAAAAGGATGATGTTCGTTCATGCAAGACTTATGAAATTTGATAGAGTTCTTCTCATCGGCCGGTATCGTCGGCGTCACGAAAAATACGACACGAAAAAGAGGTGCAGCACGAGGACTTCCCAGGAGGTCACCCATCCTAGTACTACTCTCGCCCAAGCACGCTTAACTGCGGAGTTCGATGGGATCCGGTGCATTAGTCTTTGGTATGATCGCACCTTGCCAAGTGTTGCGCGATCAATGGTTATATGGATTCGACAGACACACGACTAACTTGTGATGCGTGAACGATCTTGAATTTGTGACGAAAGAAATGAGTTGGGAGGGGGCGGCGAAGTGGGTTGTTGGGATCAACGGTAAAAAGGATGATGTTCGTTCATGCAAGACTTATGAAATTTGATAGAGTTCTTCTCATCGGCCAGGTATCGTCGACGTCACGAAAAATACGACACGAAAAAGAGGTGCAACACGAGGACTTCCCAGGAGGTCACCCATCCTAGTACTACTCTCGCCCAAGCACGCTTAGCTGCGGAGTTCGATGGGATCCGGTGCATTAGTCTTTGGTATGATCGCACACTGCCAAGTGTTCGCGCGATCAATGGTTATATGGATTCAACGACACTCGACTAACTTGTGATGCGTGAACGATCTTGAATTTGTGACGAAAGAAATGAGTTGGGAGGGGGCGGCGAAGTGGGTTGTTGGGATCAACGGTAAAAAGGATGATGTTCGTTCATGCAAGACTTATGAAATTTGATAGAGTTCTTCTCATCGGCTAGGTATCGTCGACGTCCACGAAAAATACGACCACGAAAAGAGGTGCGACACGAGGACTTCCCAGGAGGTCACCCATCCTAGTACTACTCTGCCCAAGCACGCTTAGCTGCGGAGTTACGATGGGATCCGGTGCATTAGTGTTGGTATGATCGCACCTGCCAAGTGTTGCGCGATCAATGGTTATATGGATTCGACGACACACGACTAACTTGTGATGCGTGAACGATCTTGAATTTGTGACGAAAGAAATGAGTTGGGAGGGGGCGGCGAAGTGGGTTGTTGGGATCAACGGTAAAAAGGATGATGTTCGTTCATGCAAGACTTATGAAATTTGATAGAGTTCTTCTCATCGGCCGGTATCGTCGACGTCACGAAAAATACGACACGAAAAAGAGGTGCAACACGAGGACTTCCCAGGAGGTCACCCATCCTAGTACTACTCTCGCCCAAGCACGCTTAACTGCGGAGTTACGATGGGATCCGGTGCATTAGTCTTTGGTATGATCGCACACTGCCAAGTGTTGCGCGATCAATGGTTATATGGATTCGACAGCACACGACTAACTTGTGATGCGTGAACGATCTTGAATTTGTGACGAAAGAAATGAGTTGGGAGGGGGCGGCGAAGTGGGTTGTTGGGATCAACGGTAAAAAGGATGATGTTCGTTCATGCAAGACTTATGAAATTTGATAGAGTTCTTCTCATCGGCCGGTATCGTCGACGTCACGAAAAATACGACACGAAAAAGAGGTGCAACACGAGGACTTCCCGGGAGGTCACCCATCCTAGTACTACTCTCGCCCAAGCACGCTTAAGCTGCGGAGTTCGATGGGATCCGGTGCATTAGTCTTGGTATGATCGCACACTGCCAAGTGTTGCGCGATCAATGGTTATATGGATTCGACAGCACACTGACTAACTTGTGATGCGTGAACGATCTTGAATTTGTGACGAAAGAAATGAGTTGGGAGGGGCGGCGAAGTGGGTTGTTGGGATCAACGGTAAAAAGGATGATGTTCGTTCATGCAAGACTTATGAAATTTGATAGAGTTCTTCTCATCGGCCGGTATCGTCGACGTCACGAAAAATACGACACGAAAAAGAGGTGCAACACGAGGACTTCCCAGGAGGTCACCCATCCTAGTACTACTCTCGCCCAAGCACGCTTAAGCTGCGGAGTTACGATGGGATCCGGTGCATTAGTCTTTGGTATGATCGCACACTGCCAAGTGTTGCGCGATCAATGGTTATATGGATTCGACAGACACACTGACTAACTTGTGATGCGTGAACGATCTTGAATTTGTGACGAAAGAAATGAGTTGGGAGGGGGCGGCGAAGTGGGTTGTTGGGATCAACGGTAAAAAGGATGATGTTCGTTCATGCAAGACTTATGAAATTTGATAGAGTTCTTCTCATCGACCAGGTATCGTCGGCGTCACGAAAATACGACACGAAAAAGAGGTGCAACACGAGGACTTCCCGGGAGGTCACCCATCCTAGTACTACTCTCGCCCAAGCACGCTTAACTGCGGAGTTCGATGGGATCCGATGCATTAGTGCTTGGTATGATCGCACACTGCCAAGTGTTGCGCGATCAATGGTTATATGGATTCGACGGACACACGACTAACTTGTGATGCGTGAACGATCTTGAATTTGTGACGAAAGAAATGAGTTGGGAGGGGCGGCGAAGTGGGTTGTTGGGATCAACGGTAAAAAGGATGATGTTCGTTCATGCAAGACTTATGAAATTTGATAGAGTTCTTCTCATCGGCCAGGTATCGTCGGCGTCACGAAAAATACGACACGAAAAAGAGGTGCAACACGAGGACTTCCCGGGAGGTCACCCATCCTAGTACTACTCTCGCCCAAGCACGCTTAGCTGCGGAGTTCGATGGGATCCGGTGCATTAGTGCTTGGTATGATCGCACTCTGCCAAGTGTTGCGCGATCAATGGTTATATGGATTCGACGACACACGACTAACTTGTGATGCGTGAACGATCTTGAATTTGTGACGAAAGAAATGAGTTGGGAGGGGAGCGGCGAAGTGGGTTGTTGGGATCAACGGTAAAAAGGATGATGTTCGTTCATGCAAGACTTATGAAATTTGATAGAGTTCTTCTCATCGGCCGGTATCGTCGGCGTCACGAAAAATACGACACGAAAAAGAGGTGCAACACGAGGACTTCCCGGGAGGTCACCCATCCTAGTACTACTCTCGCCCAAGCACGCTTAAGCTGCGGAGTTACGATGGGATCCGGTGCATTAGTCTTTGGTATGATCGCACTTTGCCAAGTGTTGCGCGATCAATGGTTATATGGATTCGACGGCACACTGACTAACTTGTGATGCGTGAACGATCTTGAATTTGTGACGAAAGAAATGAGTTGGGAGGGGGGCGGCGAAGTGGGTTGTTGGGATCAACGGTAAAAAGGATGATGTTCGTTCATGCAAGACTTATGAAATTTGATAGAGTTCTTCTCATCGGCCAGGTATCGTCGACGTCACGAAAAATACGACACGAAAAAGAGGTGCAACACGAGGACTTCCCGGGAGGTCACCCATCCTAGTACTACTCTCGCCCAAGCACGCTTAGCTGCGGAGTTACGATGGGATCCGGTGCATTAGTGCTTGGTATGATCGCACCTGCCAAGTGTTGCGCGATCAATGGTTATATGGATTCGACAGCACACGACTAACTTGTGATGCGTGAACGATCTTGAATTTGTGACGAAAGAAATGAGTTGGGAGGGGGGGCGGCGAAGTGGGTTGTTGGGATCAACGGTAAAAAGGATGATGTTCGTTCATGCAAGACTTATGAAATTTGATAGAGTTCTTCTCATCGGTCGGTATCGTCGACGTCACGAAAAATACGACACGAAAAGAGGTGCAACACGAGGACTTCCCAGGAGGTCACCCATCCTAGTACTACTCTCGCCCAAGCACGCTTAAGCTGCGGAGTTCGATGGGATCCGGTGCATTAGTCTTTGGTATGATCGCACACTGCCAAGTGTTGCGCGATCAATGGTTATATGGATTCGACGACACACTGACTAACTTGTGATGCGTGAACGATCTTGAATTTGTGACGAAAGAAATGAGTTGGGAGGGGGCGGCGAAGTGGGTTGTTGGGATCAACGGTAAAAAGGATGATGTTCGTTCATGCAAGACTTATGAAATTTGATAGAGTTCTTCTCATCGGCCGGTATCGTCGACGTCACGAAAAATACGACACGAAAAAGAGGTGCAACACGAGGACTTCCCAGGAGGTCACCCATCCTAGTACTACTCTCGCCCAAGCACGCTTAAGCTGCGGAGTTACGATGGGATCCGGTGCATTAGTCTTGGTATGATCGCACCTGCCAAGTGTTGCGCGATCAATGGTTATATGGATTCGACAGACACACGACTAACTTGTGATGCGTGAACGATCTTGAATTTGTGACGAAAGAAATGAGTTGGGAGGGGGCGGCGAAGTGGGTTGTTGGGATCAACGGTAAAAAGGATGATGTTCGTTCATGCAAGACTTATGAAATTTGATAGAGTTCTTCTCATCGGCCAGGTATCGTCGACGTCACGAAAAATACGACACGAAAAAGAGGTGCAACACGAGGACTTCCCGGGAGGTCACCCATCCTAGTACTACTCTCGCCCAAGCACGCTTAACTGCGGAGGTCTGATGGGATCCGGTGCATGCGTGCAGGTATGATCGCATCTGCCAAGTGTTGCGCGATCAATGGTTATATGGATTCGACAGCACACCTGACTAACTTGTGATGCGTGAACGATCTTGAATTTGTGACGAAAGAAATGAGTTGGGAGGGGGCGGCGAAGTGGGTTGTTGGGATCAACGGTAAAAAGGATGATGTTCGTTCATGCAAGACTTATGAAATTTGATAGAGTTCTTCTCATCGGCCGGTATCGTCGACGTCACGAAAAATACGACACGAAAAAGAGGTGCAACACGAGGACTTCCCGGGAGGTCACCCATCCTAGTACTACTCTCGCCCAAGCACGCTTAACTGCGGAGTTACGATGGGATCCGGTGCATTAGTCTTGGTATGATCGCACACTGCCAAGTGTTGCGCGATCAATGGTTATATGGATTCGACGGCACACGACTAACTTGTGATGCGTGAACGATCTTGAATTTGTGACGAAAGAAATGAGTTGGGAGGGGGCGGCGAAGTGGGTTGTTGGGATCAACGGTAAAAGGATGATGTTCGTTCATGCAAGACTTATGAAATTTGATAGAGTTCTTCTCATCGGCCAGGTATCGTCGACGTCACGAAAAATACGACACGAAAAAGAGGTGCAACACGAGGACTTCCCGAGGAGGTCACCCATCCTAGTACTACTCTCGCCCAAGCACGCTTAGCTGCGGAGTTACGATGGGATCCGGTGCATTAGTCTTTGGTATGATCGCACCTGCCAAGTGTTGCGCGATCAATGGTTATATGGATTCGACGGCACACTGACTAACTTGTGATGCGTGAACGATCTTGAATTTGTGACGAAAGAAATGAGTTGGGAGGGGGCGGCGAAGTGGGTTGTTGGGATCAACGGTAAAAAGGATGATGTTCGTTCATGCAAGACTTATGAAATTTGATAGAGTTCTTCTCATCGGCCGGTATCGTCACGTCACGAAATACGACACGAAAAGAGGTGCGACACGAGGACTTCCCGGGAGGTCACCCATCCTAGTACTACTCTCGCCCAAGCACGCTTAGCTGCGGAGTTCGATGGGATCCGGTGCATTAGTCTTTGGTATGATCGCACACTGCCAAGTGTTGCGCGATCAATGGTTATATGGATTCGACAGCACACGACTAACTTGTGATGCGTGAGCGATCTTGAATTTGTGACGAAAGAAATGAGTTGGGAGGGGCGGCGAAGTGGGTTGTTGGGATCAACGGTAAAAAGGATGATGTTCGTTCATGCAAGACTTATGAAATTTGATAGAGTTCTTCTCATCGGCCAGGTATCGTCGACGTCACGAAAAATACGACACGAAAAAGAGGTGCAACACGAGGACTTCCCAGGAGGTCACCCATCCTA